AAAAAAAAATAAAACAACACAGAAAAAATAAATGAACTTTCATTCGCAAGATCAAGTACAAATAATAATACAATAATCTGACTAGTTGTATTGGTCCCGATTATTAAAAACACTGGAAACTAACCGTTATTCGACTTATTTACGACGCTTAATCTGCGTTCTTTGGGTTTTTCGCCTTTATATATGCTGGTTCCTTTAACTTTACTTGTTGGTTTCTCCTTTATTATTTGATCCTCTATTTCGAGGAACTGCATTATTGCACTTCTGCTGCACTGCTTTGCGGAACATCTTGTCGAAATCTTTTTCTATTGGAAATTTGTTCTTAACGTATGCTGAAAGCACATATATTTATTAGTTTTCGAACTGCCAACTATGCGAAATCAATACTCTGCATCGCACAAATTATAATCATATCTTTCATAGCTTCAATTTTCACCGTGTCGAGTTTCTTTTTAGCGGCTATACCTTTTTCGCGATGAAAATTTGCCACAGTTCCTGTAAGCGAGGAGGTAGCTAACTCTTCTTTTGAAAATAGCAAAGACATCATTTCGCATATCAACTTAGAGGCAGATGTGTGATTGCACAAGGAAAGACGAGTGGCGTTCACTACACAAGAGTCTGGTCCTCCAAGGTCGATTGTCTTTTCCTGTTAAATGTTTTATACAAAATATGATAAAACTTTTAGATAATTATTAAATGTAACGATATTCATATTTATAAAACTACATCGAATGAGAATTGAAAACCAAAGTAACATCATCCATATACTACATATACTACATATACTTGAAAATCGACACTCCAAAAATATTAATTTCTTTTGTAAATAGCATTTTAATTGAAATATGTAATGATTTTAACCTTATGTACTACGATTGATTGATGATCATCCGAGGACTTCACTTTATCAGCTGCATGATTCGATTCTTGTACATGTTCTAATTCATGTGTGTTGACTGTTTTTATCGCGACGTCTGGACTATCAGGGAAGTCTTTCGGTGATGATTCTAGGTTGTAATTTGGTAGTACTACCAGATTATGCTCGGATATCAAAGGTATCGACTCACGTGATGGTGCTGGTTTACGAAACTCTGTAACTGATCTTTGAAACGATTTCAACTTATCGCTTGGTAGATCTAACTCCTTATTTTGTACTATCGATACAGGCGATGCATCGGCTGTAGACGATTTCAACTTATTGTTTGGTAGATCCATCTTGCTGATCCAGATCGGATCAGAATTTAGTGTCATTGCTGGAGGAATGTAATCTCGCTCACGTTCAATGATGCAGTTCCTTATTGCTTGTACTTTCTACAAAACAAATGAACACAATTAGCACATCGTTTCATACTATTTACAAATATACGATGTAATGCAAATGTAAGTCAAAATTACATATACCTGTTGTAGTTGATCTAGCTGATGATTGAAAGACTCGGTTTTCCATGATGCAGATTGCAAATTGACCGTGAGATCTTTCATCATTTTATCTATCTTTGACAAATCTAAAAAATAAATAACGGTGATTACTGAGGATCTTATTAAGAGAGTTGAGTCACTCAGAATTAACAAATTATTGTTTTAAGTGCTTTTATTGCTTAAGGATATATGTATATCCAAAACTGAAAAACGCTCGAAAAAGCATAAAGAAATGTATTTGTGAAGGAATGATTACTCATTAGAGTGCAACTCGTTTAGAAATCTAATAATTTTGTGAATTGCAGGCATTGAAATAAAGTAATTCGATAATAATTTTTAAAAACTATTAAGATAAAAATTGAAGTCCATTTGATTTAATAGTGCGATTTGAGCTATATAAGTAGTAAAAACATTGATTGTTTTAACCATTACTAAAATTACTCAACCGGGTAAGATCTATTACAGTCATATAATCCTAATCTCAATTGATTTTCTCCAATCATCTGACTTTTCCATGTTTAATGGAACGTTTGATTTGATTTGTCAATATTGAGAGAAAAATATTCAACAAGAATACCTTCGTTGACAGATCGTAACCTGCGCAGTCTTTCGTTGTCTCTTCGCAACCTCTTATTTTCTTCATTTAATACAGTAATTGTATCTGCTAATTGTGATTTTGATTGCTTATGAACGGGAGATCTTTCGTTTTCTCCATCACATTCGTTATCGCTGTCCACAGATTTACTCTATAATTGTTCGAAATCGAACTCAAATAATTACTAATAGCAATTAGCCACGATAAAGACCACTACAATAAAGCGCCGATTAATCGCGCTCGAAATTTGGCGCGTCAGCCACCATCTCGCGCGTCGCACGGCGCGCGACAAATAAGAGCGCGCTCCAAAAACGGCGCTACGCGAATCGCGCCAGGCTCGCGGCATTGCTCGTGCCTATCGATGCGGGCCAAGCAGCGGTCACCCGGGAGAGCCTCAACTACAAACAAATTGTAATAATAAGGTTCAAAATTTAACTAATCATCGCAAACAACAACCGACGCGAAAATTGAGACAAACACGTAGAAACTTCGAGAACATTAAAAAGAACGTTTGTATAAAAGCTCTCTCGGGGAACCGCCGGGCGCACTCGATCGAGATTCATCCGTGACAGTGTGTGCTTATATCGTTTAAACGCTCGCTATAGAAAAGTCGCTCGCTTTTCTAATTCGTACGCTCGATTACGAAACGCGAAGTTCACGATTATCATAAAAGAGATTTCTCGTCGCTCGCGATTAATCTCTCGTTGTTAAAACGCGCCGTTTATTCCGTCGCTCGCGGAATCGCGCCGTTTATACCGTCGCTTGCGGTATTCGCGATATATCCGTCGCTCGCGGAGATTATCGTAACGCTCCCGGTCGCTCGCCGGAGCAATCACTCGGTTAAGATTAGCATAAATCTTATCGACAAAGAACTTGTTAACTATTTATTGTTCTTAATAAATTGACTGCCTTTTTTACAAAACTCTATCGTGTCCATTTTACGCGATCCTCGCGCTCCCGCGTTCACTCGCGCACAAAGTGAATACTAGTGACCACAAATACGTTTTATGAGATTATTTTTATAGATCTGATCGACAAAGAACTTGTTATCTATTTATTGTTCTTAATAAATTGACTGCCTTTTTTTACAAAACTCTATCGTGTCCATTTCACGCGATTCTCGCGCTCCCGCGTTCACTCGCGCACAATAATAGTATGAAATCATATTTCAAAGTTTTGTCACGTTTCGAATGGAAAAATCTGAAGAACATTAAATAAAGATATATATAGATTTAAGAAAATTACCTGTGACGAATATTTCTGTTTGTTGTGTTTGTACTGTTTTAAAATTTCTTTCCCCTTTTTCATGTTTAAAGTACATTTCTATAAATGAAAAAGTATTACTAACTCATTCAACAGCAAATTTATTTTTAGCATGCGATTTTTTAAATCATGATTCCTATCTAATGTAAAATATATGTCATATACCTTTTTATTTGATAGCGCACCCTTTTTTGTTCCTTTTACTTCCGATTCGTCACTGTCACTCTCTGTTTATTTTCTTGTGAACTGTTTCCTATCACATTTATCAAGTTCAGTGATACCATACTTTTCCAAATTATCTCTGATTTCGCGCATTTTGATCCATCCTAAAATTTCAATAAAGCATTGTCATATAAAATTTTATATAAACTTACTCAAATTAAAAATAATTGCAATTGTTTGGCAATTGGAGACTCTCTTTGGAGATAAAACTTTAAGAATGCTGCATAAGAATTTGGTTTGCTTCAATGGTATGGAAAATTATACTGTGGGTGACATCCACTATAATGTACTAAAATTAAGAATCTTTTATAGACATCATTCAATAAAACAAAAAAAATAATGCATATTTAAAATCATAATTAGTCATTTCGCTATGGATGATCTTAGTAGTTAATTTTAATGACCATGAGATATTTTAAAATTTTATCACTTTGTATTTTGTTGATGAACAGCAGTATAGCCGCAATTACACAAAACTCAATTCAACTACATAATCTGTTTTACATATTAAAAAACCGATATTGCCTTGTCACACAGAAGTACCACAATACCCATACAGCACAGAACATTACAATTACATTACAGTAATGTTACAATCTTGCAAGTTGCAATGTAATGTTGTTGAGACATTATTGGAACATGTAATTGTAATATTTCATGAGAATGTTACAGCAACATTCCAAAAGCATTACAAAAACAGTTTTCAGTAACCACTAGTTCGTTCGTTTATCGCCATACGGCGCCCGTTGCATTATATATCTCGCATTTAAGTTTCAGTCACGATGATTATATAAAGCTTGCAAAGAGCGGCTAGTAAGATTAAAGATATATAACTATTTTATCAGTTTAATATACGATCCCAATACAGGAAGGCATTCCAATATTACAAATACATTGCACCGTAACATTATTGTAATCTTACATTGTAATATTTCTAAGGGCGGACATTTCAACGTTGCCGCAGGCTTGCAGTAACATTGCAGAAACATTTCGCAACTTCTATGCAATATTACAATGTTTCAATGCAAGGTCTATGCAACATTTCTGCAATCTTTCGGTGCTGTATGGGTATTTTTACAGGCCTTAATTGAGTCTTTGTAGAAGTATACAAGACCAATAACTCTTCATTATTCAATATCGTTGCTTATCTCCATATGCCCGTAATTTTGTTGCAACTATCTCCCACTCACAATTGATCAATTTTTTTTCATTGTTGCTGGGCCTACATCACAGCCTTTTGGCCATCGAATTTTCACTATCGTTCCGCGTTTAATTATGTCATTTAATTCAGTGATTGTAAATTCATCTTCCAGATATTCCAAATATCCAATAGATATACTATCTTCTTCATTTGGAAACTCGCATACCATATATCTTTGATCGTCCATTGTCTATATGTAAAAACAAAATACAGGAGCGTTTTAATATTAACTGCGAGTACTGACAGCATCGTCGTGTCTATATTGAACTGCATACGTTTGACACAGATACAACATACTCGTAGCAACTCGCAGCTAATATTGAAACGCAGTCACAATGTACAGGAATACAACACATTGAAATATTTGAAATAATTGTTTTGATTAAACGCAACTTAGGTTAATTTACTCTGGGATGTCTACAATGGTTGCATTTATTAAATCATTATAGTTCCTATCTCGAATATGTAATGAAGGAAAGAAACAAAAGATCGTAGTAAAAGTCGTACTTGACTTTTCCCAGACGTTCAGAAAACAACCCGTTCTATACGTTTATATCGTCTTAAACATAAATTACATCAAGGATTTATTACTTACCTAAAGCAAAGTCGATGTAAGCCGAAAAACAAATGTTTACTATCTCGGGTTCGATTCCCAATGATATACTATCACTAGATCCCACAGAAAATAAATCTGCTGTTCAAATGAAACTGATATGTTCGCGGTACTTGTACTACGTACAACAAAGATAGCCGCGTACACGCCGGATCAGCGTATATAGATTGCCTTCGGAAATATCACCCGTGTGCACACGAGTGCCGTTCTATTTTTGTTATTTACTAAAAGTTGAACAAAGATAGAACGACGCTCGTGTACACATAAGTGATGTTTCCGAACGCAGCCATGTCACGCGTGGTGAACCGGGGTCTGAGATTGGCTATTAATTACACCAATAAAAATGAAGTATGAGCTTGTCATCTCTTTCCTACGGTGTGCAGAGTAAAAAGAAACAGGAAGGAACGCCTAACAAAGATAGAATGACAACAAACATATGCTATCGTTGATTAATGTGTCTGCTTGAACCACCAGCACTTGTATTAATACGTGACTATTAATTAATTGGTGTGTGATTCTATAATAATCGTTAATAAGGTAAATAATAGTAATGAAAGACCAAAGATAAATAATAGTAATGAAAGTGTAGTGTTCCAGGGAAAGATTAAAAGGACGTTTAGATATAACATTCTCAATAGTATTATGTATTATAAATAATATATACACGTGAGGATGATTCAATTTTGTATAGATGATAGCTTTTTTTGAGCTCTCTATATGCATATTTGTGTTTAATTACACGTAAAAAATGGATGAGGATAACGATAATGTATTGACTAGAAGAGGTTATTATAAACGATATTTACAAGACAACGATGTACCAGTCCCTGAGTCAACAATCCGTTCCCGTAGACAACGAGAACAGATGTCATTACAACAGGTCAGTTTGTAAACATATATCAGGTCTACCGGAAAGTTCTGTCCATTTTTGGAATAAAACAAAATACAAATTTTTATTACCGTCAATAAACTTCATTAAATAATGTAATTGCCATTATTATTAATGATTTCTTGCCAGCGTGAGGGCACACATGCGCCAAATAAACATGTGCTTACGTGTCAAGATGAGACTTGTTGTGATAGAAACGGACAGAACTTTCCGGTAGACCTAATACTTATGATTTTTTCACTATATTAAATTTTTAATTGTATTTTAAAAATATGACAAAAGCAGACTCCCTTTTAATAAATATTCATATTTTTATTAGAAGATCATTTAATTTCTTATTTGCAATAAAGTGTACTTCTCTATTTAGGAACATGAAATGGATGTCATCGACGATATTTCTATGATATCAGAACAATTATCTGTGAGTTCCAATGACAACGAACGTGCCATTGCTGCTGAAGACATATCGGAAGATAGTGATCAAAGTATCAATGATCCAATATCATCTGGCAATCCAGAAAATAATGATGCAGTGAGTGTAATCATTGAATCAAATTTCAACCTTTCGGATGAAAGCTCAATATGTTTGGCAAATACAAATCAACTCATTAATTTATTATTTTTTATTCTAAAGAGTCGCTTTGATATCATTTTATTGTTGCTATAAAATTCTCTGAATATAGGAATAATTCAAATTTCAATGAATTACTATAGATTTTTTAATAATCTTGAAAGTAGAATACACCCTTGCAGAAACTAATAATGAATTTCAGGATACCTTGAAAACATAATACTTTTACTAACATTCTTGACAACGCAATTTGTATTTTGTTGTATAGGATACAAGTATGGATGACATCTCTGTAGTTAATAGAACTGACTCTGATACTGCATCAATATCAGATGGTTCAAATAGTTCAATCGGAAACGAAAGACAAAGCGTGCCTGATATTGCAGCTAATGATAACACATCGGATTTGGAAGATGTATTTCAAAATTATGAAGAATTCTTAGAGCCTGCAGGAAATGTAGATTTTGTTCTACCCGAGGATAATGATCAGGTACTTTAATCGATTCGAGTAAATTGAGATTTTCTGATGCAAACTTTGTAGCCAAAGAGAAATCTGCCACAAGTTTGTAGTATATTTTGCATCGAAAGATATTAGGATATGTACATTCAGACTTTGTCTAATCCATATGAAATCTATCACGTACACTGTAGGTCTTAATTACCCATATCTGAGAATAACTTCGAATATAAAAATAATAATCCCTATTACAGGAACGAATCCCATTATATGAACAATCGAATATATCCAAGATAGAAAGTGAACTTCTCATATTAAACTTTGCGATGCGGCATAGTCTAACCGATGTTGCTCTTGAAGACCTCATCACTTTGATAAACTGTCACCTACCGTACTCAGTATATCACACGAAGCATATATTTATGAAGAAATATGATACTTCAGCGTCAATCCGTAAATGCTATTATTGTCCAGAGTGTTATGTAAGATTGAAAACGCTTGCTGCGGATGATAGAGCAAAAGAAAACTTTGTTTGTCGAGAATGCCAATATAGATATAACAAACATGCATTGGGAAAAAACGGTAACTATTTCCTATATTTACCTTTAGAGCGGCAGTTGCCCGACTTTGTGAACAGCAACAAATACGCTATGCTTCAAAGAGAAAACGATAATTGTTCTGATATAACTTCTGGAAAGTTTTATACATCTTTAAAAGATGCTGGGGTAATTCAATTACATGATATCACGGTACAGATCAGTACTGACGGCGTTCAAGAATTTCGTTCATCATCTGTGTCAATGTGACCTATACAGGTGATGGTGAATGAATTGCCGTACAGAGAATGGAGAAAAAAATATGATGTTATGTGGTCTGTGGTATGGCAAAGAAAAATCTGATATAAATTTGTTTTTATCTTTACTTGTCGAGGAATTGATCTCCATGCATGAAGTAGGTATTACGCGTAACACGGCAGGCGAAGAAGAAATTCGTATTAAAGTACATACAATCGCGTCTCCTGTAGATTCTGTGGCGCGACCTTTGTTACAAAACATAAAACAGTATAACGGGACCTTCGGTTGCAGCTTTTGTTTGCATGAAGGTATACACGTTGAAGTCGGTAGAGGAATGACAAGAATATATCCCGGTTGCGTAAAGGAACCGCGCACATTGCGCCAACATGAAATAGATTGTGAAACTGCTGTGCAAACTCGAACTACACCTCATGGTGTGAAAGGGCCATCGGTTCTAATGCTGCTACCAGTCTTTGACATTACGTCTTCATTTACATTTGATTATCTGCATACCGTTTTATTGGGAGTGTCAAAAACTTTTACGGATACTTGATTTATTTCGTCAAATCACGAAAAAAATTGGTATATAGGGAACAAAGTAGATCTTATTGATGAGAAACTTCTGCAAATAAAACCACCGTGTGAAATTACTCGTACGCCCAGATCTATCAGTGAAAGAAATCTATGGAAGGCATCAGAATGGAAGCACTTCTTGCTCTATTACTCCTTTATTTGTTTACAAAACGTAATGCCCTTACAATATGTGAAACATTGGTTTCTTTTCATCTTTAGTATGCACATATTTCTACAACAAAAAATCAGTGACGTAGATTTATCGACGGCTGAAAGTGCATTGAAAATGTTTGTGCTTAAAATAGAAGACTTATATGGTTTAGAATATTACAAGTTTAATGTACATTTGTTACATGTCCCAGAGTTTGTTAAACAGTTCGGGGCTCTCTGGGCTACATCTACTTTTTCTTATGAACACTATAATGGAGTACTAAGAAAAATGTTCCGAAATTCGCAAGCCGTTCCGGAACAGATATGCAAATTATATATGAGATCAAAGCGCGTTGAAAGTTCATGTTTAGAGGTGTTTTCAAGACCCGATTGTTTCGAAAATGCAAAAATTTTATATGATAAAATGAGTGGAATGTATCATACGAAAAATTATCTGGAGTACGAACCTTATTTTAAAACATTTGGAAAGCCGGTTCAAAAGGTGTTAACATTAATGGAACAGACTTGTATAGAAGCTCTTTTACATGAAAATATTCTAAACGAGAGTGACTGTTACAAGCGCTTCATTTTTCGAAATGTGTTGTGGCATGCCGAGAACTACGAAAAACTTCAAAGGCGACAAAACAGTACAGCATTATTGCAGAATGGTATGTTCATTATAATATCCGGGATTTTTGGTGTCCGTACTGTGTCAAAGGATTATGTACGATACGTTATTATTGGAAAGATTCTTAATCGTGTTAATATGGAAATTTGTAAAACAAACAATCCAACACTTTCATCGAATCGTCTTTTTCACGTTACTCGCATGACTGATTCTGTCATCGCTATCTTTCCTGACATGTTATGTATCAAATGTGTAAAGATTCCATACGATAATGTAGATAAGTATTAAGTATTGTCCGCCTCGTAAATAATATTGAACGTGATTAATATATCAGTATTGTGTAACTGCAACTATTTATAGTAAATAAATTTATAAGACTTGTACTTTTACATCAATTTCCTTCAGCCTCCTTTTACCTTTAACAGGATTTTATTACAACGCACTTATTAAAATATACAATTCAGTATACATTATTAGTAATGTTCTCACTAGGGTACAATATATAGTACCTAACAATACTGTTCAGCAGTGATATAATAACAACAGTATACAGTGAAGAGTATACACTATTGAATGTTGGAAAAAATGCTCAACTGTATACGCTATACAGAATGTGCACTATTAGTTGGTTTAATATTGCAAACTTCTGCACACTATTGGTTCTCACTATTCAATGATTGATATGACAGTAGTGTATACTGTTAAATCTCTGCACTAGAGCTATTTCAATAGTACTTACTATTACATTCTAATAATTCACATTGGTCAATAGTTAAAAATTGTGTAGTGGACACTATGTATTATTAGTGTTGCAGTAATCATTGCAGTAGTGATTACTGCTTATAACTATCGGCGTTCAATAGTTACTATTATCATTCCAATAGTTACTATTAGCATTCCAACAGTTTTTTTCCGTACGGGATATTACTTTAAGAATATCATATTACCATTTTCTTATGTAAAAGTTTATTTGTATTTAAAGTTTTCTTCCATAATAATTTTCTATTGCATTTCTGATCTCAAGATTTGAGTTTTCATCAAAGTATATCTTCATTTTGTAACATCATTAGAAAGCTTTTTAAAGTAGAACTAAGTCAATAAATGATGCTAGGCAAAATATTCAACTGATATTAACTGTGTAATTATATTTTAGATTAAACAATTGGCTCGAAGTGTAAGCCAAAATACGAAAACTTCGTGCATTCAACTGACTTATGAGGCAGATTTTTACAAACCAGTTGGCAATGAAATACAGTTGGTATGGAGCAAAGAAGAAAAATATCTTCTCAAACTTACAGTTATGTAAAGTAATTATGTGTAAGTAAAATAAATTCAGAATTGCAATTTTGAATTATTTAACGGCATAATTTTATATACAAAATATATACATTTATAAATATATTTATAGCAATTTACTTATTGAATTTAGAGACATTTTTTTTATAAATATTGGTATTCTAAGCAATTTTTATATTGACATTAAAACAAATTTGTTCTTACATTTTATAATTGATTTAAATTTAAACAAATTACTTTGAACATTGTATCATAGGAATATAAAAAAACAGAATGAGTCTTGTATTATTTGAATAATATTAAATTATTAATTAATATTATAATTTTAAAATAATATTTTTTTTCAAATTGTGTCATAATTATTTAAAATAATATTACCAGAAAAACATCGAAAAAATTTTTTCCAAATTCTAAAACCGGAAACATCTAAAAGTTGTACATAAGCAGTTGTTTTTTTTTGGTATTGTTAAAATATTTACTTGTTTGTCTGCTGGTATAAATTCTTTTAATTGTTCCGGACAATGTCCTGTCCATGAATCAAGCAGTAGTAGACTTTTTTCTCCAGTATTTCGTATTAGTTAATGTTCTTCCAGAATGTACTTCGAAATTAAAGCCGCTTTCATCTGCATTATAAATTGATCCTGCACCGATAACATCAATATGTGGTTTAACCTGTCTCACAAATTCCTCTGCGCTTTGACGTATTGTTACATCAGCTGCATGAGAAGATCGCGTTTTAAAACTTGTTATTTTACGTGATACAATGCGATGTGCTTTTTTAAAATTCCATATCCACCAATTTCCTGCTCTAAATGAAGAAAAGTCTATTTGCTCCTTTGCTTGTAATGCCCATTTTCGCAAATCTATGTCGTGAATGATAGATCCTCTATCAATAGCTTCTTGGAATTGCGATAGTACATATTCGGCAATAAATACAAGTTTGTCCCTGTTTGACCCTCCGCGCATTACATTTTCTTCCCATCTATGCAATTGCGAAACAGATTTTACCTAGAAGAAAAGAAGTTTGATATTTAGAAAATCTAATTCAAAAATAAAAAGATTAAAGAACTAACGCAGATATGCAAAGTAAGTAATATGCATAAGTCTGAAATATCTTTCTGTTTCCGTTATCGTTTATTACCTACTATTTATACACAACGCACATCTACCTGCTCGTTCAACTCATATTATTTTTCTTATGTTTGTATTAAATTTTACCTTTCTAAAACGATTCTGTACAGCAGTAATAGCTAAATGTCCTTTTTTTCCACTGTTCCAAAATTCAACTGCTTTTCTTTTGTAATTTAAGTTTACATTTCCACCTTCGTTATCCACAATACAAACTTTGTCTTCATAATTATCTTCTTCAGCATCAATATCATACACGTCCACAAATTGTACATCATGCGGTTTCGACGGATCATCAAACTCAAGTTCCCATTTGTATTCAATCTCAACATCATCATTTACAGCATTTTTTATTATATCGGAAATGGCATTATGAAGTTCAACTTCATGGCGATTAACAGGTGAGACACCAAAATTTGCAATGTTAAACGTTGTGATTAATAAATTTATAACATTTGCTATATTTATTCTTGGCATTTTAACACAAATTGTTGTGTTATCACCAGCACAAGGAGTTTGTCTTCCGTGAGGAGTTAATTTAAGAAATCATCTCTTGGATTTATTTTATATATAAAACTTTAATTTGGAACTCACAATCAGAATAAATTTCAGTTAACTTGAATCGTATAATAATTGTTCAAATAACGTCAGACTATGAGTGAAATGCGGAAACGTACGGCTTTTATATCGAAATGAAGATAACATTTCAATAAATATTATGGCGTGATGTTTAAGATCAAATTTCATTGGTAGACAGAATTTGAAAATTTTTTAAAAATATCAAAGAAAAATATTGAGTGGTGGGGGTATTTCGAAAAATTTACCATTTTTTAAAAATCCAGATACGCCATTGTAAAGTACATTTGAAACCATAAAACTTTTGTTTAAACAATTTTTTCATATTTCTTTTTGTTTCAATAATATTCGCTTCGGAATGTGAAAACCGATTTTTTCTAAAGGGTTGTTTTTACCCCTGAAACCGATTTTTAGCACCAACAAAAAATCGTTTCGTTATTAGGGACTACTACTCTATAATTATGCAAAGTTTCAGATTTTTTTGAATTTTCGCGTTGCCGAATGTTCCTTGTGGGTAGGCTTCTAGGGCAGACATAGGAACATCCTCCGCACATTCTCAAAATGTCATAGTACGTATTTCGAATATTAATGGGATATTCACAATCTACGTTTGTGATATTCTGCGTACGTGCTCAGGATCTACCTGTGCTGTGTGGGTGTACGATCTAGAAAAAGTGTCTTACGATCTTATGAAAAACGGCAGCGTGGCGACTCTCAGTCTTCTCTTTGGTATCACCTAGAGTCCCTCTAACAGAGTCTGGCCAACTTGACAGTTTTGGCAAAATTTTGCGAAAGAGAAAGGAATGTACGCCATCTTACTTTAAACGAACGCATGCGCATGACAGTGCTGCATCTAAATTTAGTGATGTTCCTGCTAATCACATTTTAAATTATCATCAATTATATTCCAAAATTCTCAGAAAATTTGTTGTTTTGCGATTACATATTTATCAGAAAAAAAATACTATGCTTAGTAAATACACAGTATATACAGTAGCGCAACTCCTTGTCGGCATCTTTGATTTTAGGCCGGTATTCATAGTCAGTTCTTATATTTAAGACCGTCTTAAAGTAACATTTCATGGGCAGTGAAAAGCAGCAGCAGTTTAGTAACTAACTAGCATTGTTTGGTGATTTTACAGAATTGCTGCGCTGCCCATGAAAAGCTGTGTTCCGATTCCCCACCCGGGTGCATCCAGACACCCAGAGAGCGTTCAGATTCCTCCCAAGTGCTCTCGCCGGACTCTCAAGTGAGACGTTCAAATTGTCACTCTATTCACCCGGGAGAGCGTAAAAACCACTCGGCTCCGTGAGCCGGGTGGTTTGTGAGTGAAGATGAGTGGCAATAAGTGCGGGCAATATTGAAAAATCTAGTAATATTGTAAGTCAGAATCGGACATCAGATGCATTGAAAATTGTGTATACCCTGCCGAAAATGATCGATTAAAACGGATTTAAAAAAATGTAATCCGAATCGATCGGGATTTCTGCACCGAAAATGCGGTATTAAAACCGATTGAAAATAGTCAAATCGAATTTAGTACGCTTCAGGCGAGATTAATGTTGGATGATATATCTCCACCTCAATCCGAAATTATACGATTTCATAAAGTTATAATTAAACCTGTTTTAATGCAATTGAATTGGAATTTACCATAGTCAATCCATAGGTAAAAATAATCCCTTTTAAGGGTCGGCAGGAGAGACAGTAGAGACCTCTCGCGGGAAGCCGTGAATTACGAATTCGCTTATCCCGTATTACGGCCAAAAAATAAAGAGAATCATGTTAAACCTCAGCAGAGAAAACCGCTTAGTAGCAATCGAATGTGATTGATTCTTACTTTTAGAACCAACGAATCAACGTCAAGTGTTGACAAGACGATAACTGAGCGCTTTCTCTGCTGAACGCGGCCATAGTATATCTAGACCGAACGTTTGCTTTTATTTAAGGAGTGGGGGTAAAGATGCACGTAGAAAAGGACATATTCTGTGTCGTGCAATGAGTAAAGAATCACAGGAAAGAGCATATCGGTGGTGGGGGTAGATTTATCGCAAACGGTAGTACGTCATCGCAGCCATCTTGAGCGTCCACTTTTTTCGACGTTTTTCAGAGCCGTATACAGCCACTTGTTGCCTTACTTATTCCAGTCTGCACTTATTTTGCGCACGATCATCGATTCTAAATAAGTGAGAGGAAGAGCCGGTATTAGGCTAAAAAAATATTATTAATAAGTTTTAATTGTAAGATCATGGTGCATTGCCAGGCCTTTGAGGTACTTCCAGTATCTCTGTCATGCTCCAATTCGTCCCTGAGCGGCCATCTTGAGCGTCCACTTATATATAGTCACTTCCGTCCGCTTGCTTAGCACCAAATGCTTTCTCCTGTGAATCTTTACTCATTGGTTTCGTGCCCCTTGCGTTCTCTCTCGCTCGCACGTAGCATAGCGTACTCTTTCGCTATGCTACATGCGAGTGAGAGAGAACGCAAGGGGCACGGAACAGAGTATGTACCTTGGCCCCCACTCCTCAACACTCGATCTAGATATACTATGTCTATGGTCTGGACCAATGAGCATGCTATGTAAATCAATATGGCGATTTTATTTTGATGCTCTTCGATTTGTTGACTCTACCCGACTCTGGGTCGAGTCGAGTCAGATCTCAAGTTCGATTTGAAACTCTGGCGGAAAGCGGTTTATGATTGGTATTGGTTTCTAGTATAATCAAATTTCTTACCTGATCTTTCTTCTAATCCATTCATTGTATATTTATTCATATTTTCGTTATTACTACTTATTCTTCTTTTTATTTTATATAATATAAACTTATATTTCTTATAATAATCTTGAAATATGATGATGATCAAGAATAATGTTAAAGACTCTTTGATGGAGGTTATGAATCACGAAACCAATCATAAACCGCTTTCCGCCCGAGTTTCAAATCGAACTTGAGATCTGACTCGACTCGACCCACAGTACGTTCCGTTTCACGCATTGAGCGCATAGATCACCTGGAAATCTATAATATATGTTACGTGAACTATAAATTTCCAGACGATCTATGCGCTCAATGCGTGAAACGGAATGCACTCTCAGGCCGGATTCACACCTTGGCAGAAAAGCGGAAAGCAGAAAAGCAGAGGCCAATCAGAACTCGCGCTGAAAAAGCAAAATGTACTGCTTATTTCAGCGCGAGTTCTGATTGGCTTCTGCTTTTCTGCTTTCTGCTTTTCTGCCAAGGTGTGAATCCGGCCTGAGAGTGCATTCCGTTTCACGCATTGAGCGCATAGATCGTCTGGAAATTTATAGTTCACGTAACATATATTATAGATTTCCAGGTGATCTATGCGCTCAATGCGTGAAACGGAACGTACTGTGGGTCGAGTCGAGTCAGATCTCAAGTTCGATTTGAAACTCGGGCGGAAAGCGGTTTATGATTGGTTTCGTGATTCATAACCTCCATCAAAGAGTCTTTAACATTATTCTTGATCATCATCATATTTCAAGATTATTATAAGAAATATAAGTTTAT